CAAGATTAATGGATTGAATTGAAGACCTGTTCTTTGTTTGAAACTTGAAACCAAACTTGTCTTATATTGTGGAATATAAAATATCTTAGCGTTTAAAATTTTAATAGTTTTTATAATACACTTTTTAGGGAGTAATCTGTTGACTAGAATCATCTGCTAATAATAATTTATTTTTAAATGTATAAAATATACCTGTCACATTTGTCCGTAGGTTCATTAGTGTTTTAATATCATTCATCAGTACATTGATTCATACCAACACAAAGCCACTCCATGAACTGGGCTTGCATACATCATTCAGTTAATAGCTTCAAGCAAACGATGGAAAATATAAACTGAGCACTGCTTTCTGAAGTTCAACAGATTTTGGCTCTGTTGGACCAGTTGGGAAAGCAAATACAATACCAAGTGCCTGCACTGAAAATAGTCTGCCTACATCTTTTATACACTTAAATCTAGGGTGTTAACAAGAGTATCTCACATGATATCAACTGTCATGATGGCACTAAGGGAAAGAGACAGTTGTTCAGGTAGCCAGGAACCAGGGCCGGCTCCAGGCACCAGCTTCTCAAGCAGGTGCTTGGGGCGGCCGCTCCGGAGAGGGGCGGCAGGTCCAGGTATTCGGCGGCAATTCGGCAGACAGTCCCTCACTCCGCCTGGGAGTGAAGGGCCTCCCGCCGAATTGCCGCCACAGATCGTGGCTTTTTTTAGATCGTGATCGCGGCTTTTTTTGTTTTGGTTTGGTTTGGTTTTGGCTGCTTGGAGCGGCCAAAACCCTGGAGCCGGCCCTGCCAGGAACCAAACCCTATACAATATAAGACTGCATCCATGAATTTCATTCATGTTCAAATATTCAAAACAGTTAATTTCAGGACTTGGTAGACTTGGATTTGAAGTTTCCAATATTTACTGCATGAGTTCCAAGTCCTGGGCTATTGCCTCTCCATGATTTGGAATCTGCCAGAGTAGTCTTAGTTTGATCAGACTCTTAAATTCTGAAGGCCTACTTGTATCCCAGTGGAAGTAGCATTGGAACATTTATGGCTATGCAGATAAGGCTGCAGACTTCCCTGCTCATACCTAGGCGCTGAGGTATGATATTAAAGGAGCCCAATATCGCAAAGTGCCACCCTACCATCTGGGGTGGCCTCCTCCCAAACTGACTTTTCAGTCAGGTAGGAAAACTAACAGGAACTGTTCCGTTCCAAAACCAATTCCTCAACTAAACTTTGAATTTATTCTATCACACACTAGTAGTTTTCAGACCATTATACTGTAGGAAACACATGACTTCGTGGTGACTGAGAAAGTGGGGGGTAAATCCACCTATCCACCCCTAACTATCCTAAACCTCTTCTCTTGCCAAGTTGGTTCTTAATATTAAAACAAATTAGGTTTGTCTTCCCTCCACCCTGTCCCTTTCCCTCTTCCAGCAGAAGTGCAAGGGTAATTCCAGTCCCAGAACAATCTCCACAGTCCCACCAGTGGGAAGAAGAGAGATCAGGCACTGCAGAGGTCAGTTGTGAGGCAGGTCGTCATCTTTCGGACTGATGTCCCAGATGATTGCATAAGTGGGCTTTTTGGTTGGCTTGGGAGAGTAAATTATAGCAGTTTAAGAGAAGCAGTTGTTTAAGACAAATAAGAGATGCAGTCCCTTATCCAAAGAGTTTAAAAATACTGCTATATACACAGAAGTGTTACTTTAAAATTTGTACAGAAAAAGTGAAAATTTCAGTTCTTTTTAAAGAAATCAAATTGACTGATACATTTAATCCTCACTTTTCCTTTTGAATAATTTCAGAATAGCACCAAATTTTTTTTTAAATTAAAAATTGCATTTTAGTGAAATATTTTCTTTAACTTTCTATCTTTTTAATGTTTAACTAGTAACAAAGTAGGCTAAAAACGTCTTGTGTTCCCTAAAATTAGGATCATAGCATTGCCAGGCTATCAAGTGTCACTCCCACCAGTATACAGACAGAGGTTTTTTTTATTTACAATGCACAGAAGGTAGTGTCTTTCACCATCTGAATTTGAAAACACTATGCTGAACACAACTTTTAAAAGAATTGTTGGAGGAGGTGGTTGCTATGGACTAGAAGTTTATCATGGCAAAATGATTAATCCACTCTTCTAATTAACCTTTCCTGTCTCATACATTTTAGACATAAAAAACCCAAGAGTTACACATCCAATCTTTTCCTGTTGTTTCAAACCATACCTCTGCAGCAGATTATACATCATGTCTCCAAAAATTTGTGTACAATTACATTTTGAACATTTGTAAATTAAATGTATTTTAAGTTTAGAGCTAAAATACTGTGGTTGTTTCACAAGAGACATCAGCAGGGTAGTTAAACAGAGAGAAGGCTTGCTATTTTTAAAAATGGGGGATACGTGCATTTTCCCTTACTTGTACAAGAAAATACCATCTCCCCAAAACCCAGAAGTTTCAATAATATAACTGCAGTTACTGCACGGAATTTGCTATCTGAGCATCTTAGCTGCTTTTCCAAATGCTTTACTAAGGTATGTATCATTAAGCCCATTTTATAGAGGAACAGTGGGGAGGAGGGAGGTGATCTACACGAGTTTAAGCTACCTAACAGAGAAAGGAGAAGTGACCAACACTTGACAAGTGGAGGGTATACCTACACTTCCAGTAAAGGTGTAGTTGTAGCAGCTTCCCCCACAGGCTTTAATCTAGGAAGCATGGGCCACTAATAATAATAGTAAGACATGGTGCCATAGGTTAGCAGCCAGACTATGTACCCAAGCTACCCAGCAGGCTTGTACTCTGGTTACTTGCAGTAATGTAGTCCACTCTCATTTGGGGAAGAGAGAGTTTAGTTAGTGTAGGTTAGTTTACCCACTTCCTCTTTTACCACTCCACCTCTGGTTGCTTGCTTGTGTTGAAACTCGAGCTGCTACAGCTACACTAGTGCTGTTATTCATGACAGCTAAAGTCAGCGGCACTACGCAGATCCCTGGTACAATCCCACCATCACATTGCTTTTGGCACTCTATAGAGTACATAAGCTTCCGCTGCCTATCCCTGCCAGAAGCTTTCAGTGATGTGTACCTACATACTGTGGTGTGGTCACAGCTTGCTTTTCGCTGAGACAGGCAGTTACACCCTGCTGGAAGAGATGACCAAGAGGGAGACAGCCAGAGGGTGGTGGGGTTACCTGCGCCCCAACTTTTCTTGCTGCCCCTTTACTGAGGAAAAGAAATAGAACAGTGGAGCGCCCCACAACCAGTAAGGTGTGTCAGGCCTCAGCAAGACCCGGAGGCCTCCTGGATCTCCTCACGCCAGCTCCCCCAATCCTCTGTGAAAATGGCCTCTGCAACAGAACAGCCCCGCCCTCACTGTCAAGTAGGTATCCACCCTGCGGGATAAAAGCCTCGCGCTAAAACGGGAGCGAGGAGAAGCACGTGCCGGGGAGGGGAGAACGGCTCGCTGGAGCGGCGGGAGGTGACAAGAGCTCGCGCTGGGGAGGGGCGAACGGCTCGCTCGAGCGGTGGGCGGGGCTGGCCCTCCCTGACGGTTTTGGCGGGAAAGCCGTGGCCGGCCTAGGGAGCAGTTGCCTCGCTCACCGCCCCCGTCATCTCCGACCCCTCACACAGGCCGGGCAGGCCCTGGCTATTTAAGGGGGGGAGGGCACATCCTTTCGCCACCGAGCCCCGCGCCTCCGCACAGCCAACACTCACTGCCGTACGTCACACCCACAGGGAAGTCACTCACAGCACCAGTCGTAGGCACGTTCCCCCGGGAGCCACCCCACTCCGAACCTCCCTGTGGAGCTGGGGGCGGCGTCGCCTGCGCCTCCGCTTATCTCCTGAGTGGCCGGGCCCCCGCTACTCACCGCGTTGTCGGGCTCCATCTCCCGCCTCACACCGGCCTCAAAGTCCCTGCAGCACGTTTCCCGCACGCAGCTCCCTCCACACGCCGCGGCAGCTCCGAGCCCGACGCGCTCCTGGCTGTAAACCCACACAGAGCCGAAGGAGTCACATCGGGGGCGCGGGCGGGCCCGGAAAACGGAGTGTGGGGCGGATGGGGTCTTCTCCCTGCCTAACGCACGGGTAGGGGGCAGCACTGAGGTACAATCGGGGCGGGGATTGATGTTCGGGATTGTCCGGGGCAGCCGGGGGAAAAGAGAAGCGGGCGGTCAATTGTCTCTCCCACACAACTACCTGCCCTCCATGCCCCATGCGCCCCACAGAACTACCTCACTCCCTTCCCCTTCTCGGGCCCCACACAGCTACCTTGCCCCACTGCTCCCATGGGCCCCACACAGCTATCTTGCCCCATTGTTGTGTGGGGCTCATAGGGGGAACAGCATAAGGCAGCATTTCCCCAGGGCTCCAGCACAGCTATCCTCCCACAGTCCCTCCAATGGATCCCACAGAGCTGTCCTCCTTCATTCTCCACCCTATCGGCCCCACACAGATACTACTTCATCCCCTTGTGCCCCCTAACATTTCTCCCCATGGATCCCACATATCTAACCTCCCAAGAACTATTAAACTCCCATCCCTTATCAGGACCCTGCAACCCCAATAGATATCACCTCCAAACCCTCACTGAGTTTCACTCAGTTATCTCCCCATATCCCATCTGCCACCTGCTTCTGCCCATTCAGTCATCTTCTATCTCCCCTGTAGCCCATTCAGTTACTGCTCCTCCTTCCATCTTCTGCAAAACACATCCTACCTGCTAACCCCCCCATTCTCCCTGCTACTCCTTTCAGCACACTTCTTTATCACTTCCAATCCCCCCTTCAGTTCACTGTAATCATCTCTTCCCTGCAACTTGGGCAGTTTTCACTTCCCACTCCAGTAAAAGTGCTCTTTCATTGAGTTATCAGAGATCAGTGTTTAGGGGCCATGCCTGGAAAGTGAAACTCCCCCCTCTGCCACCATCCCTTGCACCTGCTGGTGCTGTCACTCACCCTGAGATTTCAGCCTGCTGCTCTGGGACAGGCACGCACAACTCCTAAGCACCACACAAAAAACCCTTTACAGCTCCTTAGACACCCTAAAGCACTGGGAGTGGGAGGGCTGCTTACTCACCTCCAGGGGTGAGTTACTAAACCCTGGGGCGCCACCAGTAGCAGCAGCTGGGTAGGGGTTGGTTTCTGACTTCCAGGCCTGGAGCAGCAGGAGAAAGCAGCACAAAGCTGTTGGCTGCTGGCTGCTCCTCCATTCCCTGTGTGCTTCTGAGTTTCTGACACTCACACACATTCCTTCTCCCCCTCCCCCTCAGTGAGTATCATTTCACCAACAAACCCTCATTACACACACTTGCAAAACACTGATCACAGGCTGGCTGGCACACAAACATACAAGAATAGTACCAGGGAAGGGTGGTGTAAGTATTGCAAATTGTTGCTCCCGGAGGACTCTGTGAATGAGCTAGATTCCTCATTGAAACGTCTAGCAAAAGTCCCCACACAATCCCAAGAAGGGGAGAGCTTGTCAGACATACATCAAAGTCCTCTTTCATCTTCATTACCTGAGGACACGTAACACACAAAAATCCTGCCAATTGCATTTTCCATGCATAGAGGGAGAAAGACTTAACACACAAGCTGAGAGAGAAACTGTAACACACATCACCCCCCAGAGGGAGAGACTGAAGTAAAATCCCTCATTCCCAAAAGCTGACTCATAATTTGCTACTGATGGGAGCTAATGGACACTGCAGTATAGACAAGGCTCAGGCACTTTGTCATTAGAAAGGAGTGGAAGGGACTCTATAGTTAAGCTGGAGAAGCTTTCTGTTTTAGAGCTGATTTTTCAAAGTGCTTTAACATACACAGACAAATTGCCTTGAAAATTGCTGAGGCACATCAAGAGCTAGGTAGAGTTAGTGATGCAAATTTGGGTCCTTTGGTCCAGAGGGTTGGGAGATAGAATTCAGCCTTTTTGCTCAGAGCTGAGAAAAAATATATATTCAGGATTCACATGAAACTGACATCAGTGGACATCCCCTGATCTCACCTAGTAAACACCACCAAGAACCAGCTGTACAATACAATATTTCAAAAACTATTACACTTACATTCTGGTTGCACACACAGAACCAGATTGACCTGAAAATGCTTTGCCGGGAGAGAGACTTGGATAAGATAGTGGTGCAAATCTGAGGTCACTTAGTCAAAGGGTTTACAAGATACAGTCCCATCAAAATTAGCTGATCTCTTAGTATTGTTCAAAGCTGCTGGAATGCAGAATGAGCTGTGAGGCTGGAGACCTATGGCTGTTTTAAGGACATTTTGACACAACAGTTGAGAATCCTGGACCAATTTTCAAGGATTTTCTCTCCTCCCTTTGGCAATGGTCTCTCTCTCTCTCTCTCTCTCTCTCTCAGTTGGTCCAAATCTGTTCTCATGCCTTCGCAGTTTATAGAGTTCACAGGAGCAATTCTAGATGCCAGATAAGCAAGAACAATTCTGTGTGAAAGTTTTTCCATAATGAATCGAATCACCACATTTCACACACAGCACATGCACACTCTCAACAGACACTGCTGGCTAAAAGATTCCAGACTCATGTGCATTGGACACATGCTGCACCTATAATGGGATCTGTATGGACAAAGGCATCTAGAAGAATTTGAGTTACTATAAGGAAATTGACCTTTCTATATGTTCCCTGATTGGTAGTACCTCTGACTGAAATACAAATCTTTAATACAAAGCAAACAGTTTTCATTTATAAAAAGTAACTCTAGTGAGGCCTTTGGGACTATTATGTCCTCACTTCCACTTTCAATCCACAGTTACCATTGTTCTTTCAGTTTCTCCAAATCTTCACATGGATCTTCAATGCAGGCCACTATCTTAAAATTAAAAAAAAAAAACCTTGAAATATTTCAGTCAGCCACATTCACACAAAGTAAACTTCTGTCAATCAGTGTTTGTATATATGTAAACAACCCCCATCATGATTTGTTATTTGGGATTGAACCTTTTAACTCCATTAGCTAATGGTAGTAGCTGGCATAGCCTATATGTGGAACTGGACCAGCCCCGCTTGAGTTACTTGCCCATTCAGTTACTGCTTGCTGAGACTACAAACAATGGTTCCATTTAGTGTCAATTATCATTATATTTTTTGTGATGTAGATACCCTACACTGGGAGGCGAGCTGAAATCTACTCATTTGACACAAGCCAGCAAATAACTTGTCAATGATTATTTGGTCATCATCATCAACCAGATTCTAGATAGTGACTTAAAAATGAAAGGATGTGTGGCATATAAACAAGCACCTGCACATTTCTCTCTAAAGTGCTTTTGATTAATTGATTATATAGCATTTCCACATTTCTTTCAGCTCTGAGGAGGTGCTGCACTACTTTCATTGAGATAACTACAGTGCTTCTTCATTAGCCAGTTGTAGGATGATCATATTTCCCTATACTGAATACGGGACACCTGGTAAAATTACTCGTATTCAAGCCATTTCAACAGCAATCAATCAGAACTATACAGTACAAATGTTAAAATTAACATCAAGTTGACTGAGCCCCTGTTAAAAAGAAATACTGCATAGTTGGACTCTTTTAATTTACCTTCTTATCTTTAAGGCTTTAGGGTTCACACGGGGAGAGGTGACACACACACACTCCCGTACACCACTCTCACACAGGGGGATTGACTGACTGACCCGACCCTCTCTGCCCAGTGCTCTCCGCCCTCTGTCTATCTGGGACAGACCCACCTCTCCCAGTACCTGACACCACATCCTCCTGAGGCAACATGTCGGAGGGTGGGGGGGCATGCAAAGCCACATCTTCCCCAGATTTATGCCAGGGCTCATACCAGAATATGGCCAGCAGCAGCCTTTCTGCTCTGTGCGGGAGGGAAGGGATGGGAGCTGCTTCCAGCTGGAGTGGGGCAGGGGGGGAAGGGATGACCTGGCTTGTGTCTTTGCAGAGGTCATCTCTTCCTTCCCCCCGCACCCTCCCCCTCGTGCTCTCCTGTGGCTGGAAGCAGCTTGTCCCTTCCTGCCTGCACAGTGTTGAAAGGCAGCTAACACCTCCAGGCTGCTGCTGGTCACCAACATAACCCAGCCGCCTCCTGTCCCCTGGCTACAGCACAGGCAGGAAGGGGTTAAGCCCTAAGGATCTATTGTGCACCAGGGCTCAGGGAACCTGACTGCAGGGGCTTCAGCTAACCCTGCCAGAGAGGTGGCTCAGCAAGGGAGGGTGCCTAAGGGATGGAGCAGCCCCGTGCTTCCTGCGGGGCAGGACCCAGGGTGGGAGGGGGGTGGGGCGAAGAGGGTGCTAAGCTAAGTCCCTGTCCAGAGGGCTGCTGTGGCGCCTGCAGGGTTGGGGCGCGAACAGGCTGGAAATCGCTTCCCCCCTGCCACTCCAGCGCTTAGCTGAGGGGCAGAGAGGCTTCCCCATGTCAGTACTGCAGTGATTTCCCTACACCCCCCCCCCCGAATTTCCCCAATACCCCCCCCCAGTTTTGTGAACTAGTTACATGCCAATTTAGTGACTGTTTGGAAATTTGAATTGAAATTGAAACATTAAAATACCCATTTTAAAAGCATATACAGTGTACGATAAAATATGTGTATCTGAAAAAGTATTGTAGATTTGAAAAGTATGAACATGTACAGCTGTTGTTTTTTATGACAATGTCAGTGCATTCATTTTGGTGATGTTGGCCAACCTAATACACCTCTACCCCGATATAACGTGACCCAATATAACATGAATTCAGATATAACGCAGTAAAGCAGCACTCGGGGGGGTCGGGGGGCGAGGCTGCGCACTCTGGCGGATCAAAGCAAGTTCAATATAACGCAGTTTCACCTATAACGCAGTAAGATTTTTTGGCTCCCGAGGACAGCATTATCTCAGGGTAGAGGTGTAATTTCAAATGATGATTTGTAAGCAAAGTCTAAATGAGCTCTCCCTGACAGCTAGTGATGAGCTGGGGCTGGGGGGAAAGGCTTCAGGACCAGATTGTATTTACATTCACACCTAATCTACCTACCCTGTTTCCCCGAAAATAAGACAGTGTCTTATATTAATTTTTGCTCCCAAAGATGCGCTAGGTCTTATTT